GTCTTGTCCGGGGTCCGTGTCCCCCAGTCCCGGGGCATTCCCTGCCCGAGGTCCGTGTCCCCACCAAATCCCTCTGTCTGTCCCCACTGTGTACCTCTGTCTGTCCCAGTCCCTCTGTCTGTCCCAATCCCTCTGTGTGTCCCCCCAGTCCCGCTGTCTGTCCCCCCAATCCCTCTGTGTGTCCCAGTCCCTCTGTCTGTCCCCCCAGTCCCGCTGTCTGTCCCCTCGATCCCGGTCCGTGTCCCTCTCCCCGCTTTGCCCGGTCCGTGTGTCCCCCTCCGTCCCTCCCTCTGTCCGTCTGTCTGTCCGTCCGTCCCTCCGTGTCCCCCGCCCCGCGCACACGTGCCCTGCCCGGTGCCGCCCTCCCTCCGCTCCAGCCCGGGCACTCAACTCCTCCTCCTCCTCCTCCTCCTCCTCCTGCTCTTCTTCCTTCTCCTCCTTTGCCGCCTTCCCCACGTGCCACACACAGTCCATGGATCCACAAATCCAGGAATCCACAGATCCACAAATAGAGGCATCCATGGATCCATAAATCCAAGAATCCGTGGATTCCCCAAATCCAGGAATCCACAGATCCCCAAATCCACGAATCCGTGGATTCCCCAAATGCAAGAATCCATGGATCCACAAATCTAGGAATCCACAGATCCACAGATCTACAGATCCAGCAATCCAGGGATCCCCAAATCCAGGAATCTGTGGATCCACAAATCCCAGAATTCACAGATCCACAAATCCAGCAATCCAGAGATGCACAAATCCAGGAATCCATGGATCCACAAATCAAGGAATCCATGGATCCCTAAATCCATCAATCCATGGATTCCCAAAATCCAGGAATCAGTGGATCCCCAAATCCTGGAATCCATGGGTCCACAAATCCAGGAATCCCTGGATGCCTAAATCCATCAATCCTTGGATTCCCAAAATCCAGGAACCCATGGATCCCCAAATCCAGGAACCCATGGATCCCCAAATCCAGGAATCCACGGATCCATCCTGGTGCCCACACCCGGAGCCCCGAAATCTCCAAGCTCCTTTTTCCTTTTCTTTATTTTTCCTCTGGAATAATTCACGGAGCTTTTCCCAACCGTGGGCAAAAATCCCAGAGGAATTAAGAGGGAACTCTTGGAAACGGTTTTGGGCTCTTGGAATTTTTTGTCGCCTCCTTTTATTAAAAAAAAAAAAAA